GGAGGAAGCAGGAAGAATAGGAAGAGGAAGGAAGGGGAGGAGAGGAAGGAGGGAGAGGGGGAAGGGGAGGAGGTGGAAGAAAAGGGAGAGGAGGCAGGGTATGTAACATAACTGTTCCCCATTTAGCTATCCTGACATACGGTAGTCATTCCCATGAAAAATTAGGCATACTTGGATACCCACAGTGACTACGAATCTATCGGCTTCTTTGCTCTTGTTTTATGCATCGTCCTTCACTTGTACCTTCTAAGATAAGAATAAAGGACAATTCAGGGTAACGCCAACAACTGAACACAAATGTAAATAATTCATTCGTCAGTCAATACAGTCCTTGCGACATTTGTCTCCTGAGATGGCCACCACTGATCATCCTGTCTACCAATCAGACCCGAACGTCGGAATTCATCGATACTATGAATAATAAACGCCACAAAAAATGTTTATTCCGGGCAATTGCTGGCGGGTAGACAAAGATCGACTGCGAGATTGATCGAACTATTTCCTAATTGTTAGCTCGTGGAGGATATTAACGTAAAATATTCAGAATCTAGGAGGTGGGAATGGTATATGGCGGCTGGTATTAACGCCACAACACACACATATATACTGTATATATGTACACACACACAATTAATGTTATATATGTATACCCTTCAGAGCTACTGCCGTCTATATTAAGTCGTGGAGAGTAAGAATTATTTAGTAATTCGTATTTGGACTCGATACGTTCAGAGTCGTCAAAAAATACTAATTATAATAATTTATGTCGCTAGTTGTAGTTTTTTGACATTTTTTTATTAAGTTCGTATGTCGTGTGTGTGTGTGTGTGTGTGTGCGTGCGTGTGTGTCGTGTGTGTGCGTGCGTACGTGCGTGTGTGTCGTGTGTGTATGTTCGTCTTGAGGTGAATTTTCCTTTTTATTAATCAAATTCATCACGAAGACTAGAGTGTCGACAGCTCTATCCTCAGTTCCAGATTATATCATAAAATAATAATAAAACCAACACGAGAAGATAGAATATATCAGCAGTGGTTCTTGAAACAGACTTGTGACCTTCACTCGTGATGACGGCCGACAGCCCTCACGATACCTGTTCCTGTGCAGTTAACATGAGGCCATTTAACGTGAAGAAATATAATACTCGTATCTTTATTTATTTATATACGTATATGGACGTATTAACACATTTACAACTGTGCAAACTCTACAAAAAAGAATTCATTGTTACACACACATACACACACTCACGGGTACACACTGTATTTTTACCAACACTAGCATGGAGAGAATAGGGAGACGGAATGTTTGATGCATCTCTCTCTCTCTCTCTCTCACACACGGCGACTCACTTCCAAATTCTCGCGTCTCATACCAGAGTAACAAACCAAGTTCGACAGTAAAACTCTTTGCGTCTGAGAACTTTAAAAACCTAATAAAACTCACAAGCCCAGAAGCCACTCTCATAAAGATTACGACCTTAGGATATTTAATTTTGAACTTAGTGAGTTTTCTAAGTGGGAGAGCAGAGGCAGGAGGAGGAGAGGAGTGTACGGGTGTTAGTGTGGAGATGCTGGTTCAGCTTCCTTCTTCTCCTCCTCTTCTACCCTCTACAATACTGGTTGGTGAATAAAGTAAACTTCTGACGACGACGAAGACGAACACGACGACGATGATGATGATGATGATGATGATGATGATGAGAGTCTTGGATGAAAGTGACCAGTTACAGAGAGTTGATCGCTAATAATTAATTGGTAGCTGACAGTGGGTTGATTGCTGACATTGGTTTGGTCGTTTACACGGGAATGATCGCACCACACTTAACAGACGACGCACCACACTTAACAGACGACGCACCATACTTAACAGGCGACGCACCACACATAACACACGACGCACCACACACATAACACACGACGCACCACACTTAACAGACGACGCACCACACACATAACACACGACGCACCACACATGACACACGACGCACCACACTTAACAGACGACGCACCACGAATAACACACGACGCACCACATATAACACACGACGCACCACACACGACGCACCACATATAACACACGACGCACCACACACGACGCACCACACACAACAGACGACACACATAACACACGACGCACCATACATAACAGTCTCCAGAACTTATCTCATTATCTCAGGTTGAAGCCAAACTTCCAAGAACGTTCGCCTGGATTATAAGATTACTTTTACTGATCTAACACTAACCTTATCTAACTCATCTAACAGTAAACTTATCTATCTGATCTAACTAATCTAACCTTGTCTAACTAATCTAACTGGTGATGGGTAACTATTCTTGTAAGGTGTCTTATTACATTACATTACATTACATTACATTACATTACATTACATTACATTACATTACATTACATTACATTACATACATACATACATACATACATACATACATACATACATACATACATACATACATACATACATACATACATACATACATACATACATACATACATACATACATACATACATACATACATACATACATACATACATACATACATACATACATACATACATACATACATACATACATACATACATACATACATACATACATACATACATACATACATACATACATACATACATACATACATGCAGCATACATGCATACATACATACATACATACATACATACATACATACATACATACATACATACATACATACATACATACATACATACATACATACATACATACATACATACATACATACATACATACATACATACATACATAGAGGCAGGGACACACAATGAACCGGTTACAGCACGTAATGATAGCCCACTTCCCCTGTCGTAGCGGCGCGGGGCTGGAGGTGGAAGTGGCATTGCTCCCAAGGCTGAGGTGTCTCTCCCCTCACTCTAGCACCGCCTACCCTCATTCCAGATAACGAAGTCTGGTGGTGGCGCTGAGGAAACGGCAGGAATTTGCACTTTGTCAGAAACCAAAACAGAGGGAAATGGTTGACAAAGGTGATAACGTCAAGACTCACTCTTGTGTGAGCTCCTCTCAGCTTTCCTCGGTAAAACACGCGACTATTTTTTCCTCCACACTCCTGGCAAAAGTTTGTAAAATGGTGTTTAAATAAGATGTAAGGGAGGGAATATGTTAGGGGGAAGGGATCGCACGGAAGGCAGGTGCTGGTGGCAATGTGTGGAAAGGTTGTGGCGTCTGCAAGTGGCCGCGACTTTACCCGGATCATGACGCTTTATGGAGATTTGGGACGTGAGGAGGAGGTGTTTACCTCCACGCCCCGTCGTGTCTCTTACACCACCAACCACACTGTGAGAGCAAAGGTATTAGTGTTATGACATATACACTTGAACACATGCATAAATACAGACCTAGATGATTATAAACACACACACACACACACACACACACACACACACACACACACACACACACACACACACACACACACACACACACACACACACACACACACAGGGTAGAAGACACTTGCACTTTTGTCACAATGAGGTGTTGTGTACATCCCGTGAGCGAGGTCGTCCTCCTCACTAGGTGTCAGCGACTGCTCACGGGGTCAGCGGGGAGGTGACTTATCATCTCTTGGTTTTGTTCTCTTTTATTTGTAGTAATTTAATCTATATTTAATATTTTAATTAAAGTTCTCATCACAACCATTTCTCGCTGACACCTGGACATAGCAGAATTATTATTTTTTTTAGTTCTTTATGAGTACATGACAATTACATCCCTTGGTGTCAGGTCCGTGGCTGATGGAGTAATGTGGTTTATTTACGACTGACGCTCTTGGGAGGTTCAGGTGGTCTCCTCCTGGCCTCCACCTCCTATTATATATCACTGGTAAATGTATCTTGTGGAGGTCGGGATGTATTTGTCAACTTGTGAAGAAATTTGGGGTTGGCAGTGGGAGTATCTGTCATCTTTGCGTTATTCTATTGCGACTTCTTTCTTTTATTCCTCTTTTTTATTCTTTCTTACTTTCATCCTATGTTTTGCTCCTATCCTCTCCTTCAACCTAATTGAACACCCCTTCTCCCACCCTACTCCTCCTTCTCTTCACTCACCTCCTCATCTTTCTCCTAATAATTTCCACCCGTTCTGATCTTCACTTAAAGCCAAGGCCAAAACCATTTAGCGGACATGATGTACTCAGCCAACATGGATCGCTGAAGGTGACCACTCCACAGTATTTCCAGACACACAGACCCACCTTGGCTTACTTACACCCTCTGGCCGCATATGAAGATGTAATTTACTAGACTGGAGTTCTTTTGTTTAGTATTAGAAGTTTCAGTCACCCCTCTTCACCCCTCCCCCCCAAAAAAAAAATATTATATACACATGTACAATGGTTCACACAATATAGTATTCGTTTCAATACTGTCCCGAAATGTGCGTGTCTGAGTGTCTTTTTGAAGTTCAGTACTAAGATGATCACAAAAAAAGAAAAGAAAATAGCGGGTTTGTCGTTGCGTGAGGCACTGAAAGCCCGTGTTACCTCCGCCCAAGCATTCACTTAGTGTGTTGATATCAAACGTTGTATTATAGACAATCCACTGACAACTTAACGTATCCCGACCACATTGCATTTCAAAAGAATTCCATTGTTGTTTATGATTTTGACAGAGGCAATATCCGCTCTCAAACAGAGCATTTGCAGCAATGGATCGTATTACAATAACGCAATATTTACGATGAAATACACTTGAAAATGGAATATTCTTTACAATATGCATCTCTATCATCAAATACCTAATTCTTTCTTTTTCCTTCCTTTAAATATTTCAATAAAAACTACATCTGGTACTCAGAATATAGCAGCTGGTACACAAAACACCACATCTGGTACTCAAGACAAAGTGACGTCCTCAATACCTCATATCTCGGACTCAGTGAATCGTGTACTCTGCATCATGTACTCAACCAGTGTTATATCCTTGTTATAGGTTGGAGAGAACGGCAACGATGACGTGGGGATCCTGGCGTCCGGGTTTCAGAAGGTCATCTACAGAGGTCAGAAGTGGCCCATTAAGCACCTCTCCCTGGCCGGCCTCCTACCCACCACCCACCACTACATGACCTACGACGGATCAACCACCCACCCTGGCTGCTGGGAGACTACTACCTGGCTGATCATGAACAAGCCTGTATATATCACCAAGCAGCAGGTGTGTGTGTGTGTGTGTGTGTGTGTGTGTGTGTGTGTGTGTGTATGTGTGTGTGTGTCCCTGCACTTAAGGCTTATCATCTCTCTCTCTCTCTCTCTCTCTCTCTCTCTCTCTCTCTCTCTCTCTCTCTCTTTTCTTCCTTGGGTGAAAAAGATGTTTTACTTGCCCCCAATATTGCTCAGTCCAACATTCCTTGTGGCAATACTCTCTGGTCTCTTCTCCTTCAGGCAATACTTCTCCCTGACTTCCTCACTTTCTCTTCCATTACCCAACTTGCGTTACTTGCCAATATGTTTTCTGCACTGATGATGATACCTTTTCCTCTCACTCTATTTCTTAATTCACCGAGTACTATATTTCTCTTATATTTTTCTTCTCTCTCTGGGCAAAACCATCTCGTAACTTTTTCTTTTCGATATCGTTTTTGACAATACGTTCTCGTCTTTCTCTCTTTCTTTCCCATTACTTCCCTGACAATACTTTCCCTCGTCTCCTTCTTCTTCATCATCCTTCACTCCCACTATAAGACCTCCAAACTTTCCCCACGTCGGGTCTAGTCCCTTGTGACTATCTAATAGAAACTGATCTTGCTCTTCATTCGCTGCTTCTTTCGGATTTTCACTTCGTTTTAAGCTCTCAGTAATAAATTTCTAATGAGATAATATTTACTCTTTTTGATTTATCGCGATCTCTTTTTCTTTTCCTCCTTTTTTTTAAGATAAAGGTAACTTCCGAGATGTTTACTACATATTCACTGTTTTATTGTCAGCATGTGGAGTGCGGCTGTCAGGCTCTGTGACCCAAGAAGTAAATTTGTGATATATTATGTCATAAGTCCCTCACCCACCCACCCTCCCTCCCTCCCTCCCTACCTCCCTTTCTGCTTCCTCTCCCGCCTTTCCTCCTTCTTTCTCCCCTCCCCCCCCTCCCTTTTCTCACAGCCTCCCTACATCCTTCGCCCTACAACCTCGCTCCCTCACCCCACAACCTCCCTCACTTACCACATAACCTCCCTGCCTCGCCCCGTAACCTCCCTTTTTTGCCCCACGCCGTCCCCGTGGCCCAGCCTCAGGACACACGCTCAAGGAGGTATAGAAACAGTCCATCACTTCCTTGCCTAAACTCATCTCTCCCATGACAGATCTATCAATTCGGATATATAAAGTCCCGTTTTTAATGTATTCGTTGGGTTACCTCGTACCTCTGACATTCTGTAACAGGAAAGTGATCGATTACTAGCATCTTCCCAGGGATAATGTTGTTGCTACCAGGAATGTTAGGTTATCTAGCACAGCTTGTGAAGTTCAGTGAAAATATCTGTTACAAGATGGGTCTACCACAGAACAGTTGTCATTGTTGTCTTTTCACCACATACCTTACCCCATTAACTGTTGTTCTTTATAGACACTCATGATGATCTTGATCTATTTACCATCACTAATCTACACTACCAGTTGCCCACCCCTCACCTTCCTCCCTCCTGCCGTTTGATACATCCATGTACTGATGTGGTGTTGTCTTCTGCCGCAGCTTTACGCCCTACGGCTACTGATGCAGGGTGACCAGGCTACACCCAAGGCGAAGATGGCGAACAACTTCCGTCCTGCGAAGCCTCTGCACCACCGCACCGTCAGAACCAACATCGACTTCACCAACGCCCACAGGAGCAAGGGCTGTCCTACCATGCATAGGGAGATGTTCTACGCAGGTGAGAGTCCCATAATGTTTACCTTTTGACCAATGTTTACATTTTATCCGATAAGTTATTGCCTATCAAATGCAATGACCCCTCAACTGTCTTCTAATTATGTGATATTCACCATTTCCTAATAATTCATTTAAAAATGTATACACCATATAAAAAAAATATGTATATATATATATATATATATATATATATATATATATATATATATATATATATATATATATATATATATATATATTCGAAAACTAATGAAAGTAACGTTAGAAGGTCGGGAGATTCACAGCATCTGAGACAGAGAGCGACCGACGCTACCAATCAACACAAAAGAATATTATCCACCATGAACATGAGCTTAAAGGGATTAAAATCTCTTATGTTGCAGCGTAAATGCATGCAAACGATCCCTGACACGCTGAAAGTTTGGGAATCAGCGTCTGTCAGCCACTTTAAACGTACTTCAGAAAGCTCTCTATATAAGCCTACCGTCCGGGCATCAATTTATGGCTGGGGATCTCGTTCTCGCCCTTAAACTCCGGGATAACAAAGGTCATTATAGCTGGCGAGGGAGGCTGTTCATCCGTGTTTTATGAGTCATTTTTTAAACGCGGCAACTTTTAAACAGCTTAGCTAACTCGCGGAGATCATGTGCTTGGTTCACACCCCACACAAACTTTCTGCCATTATGACGGACATATGAGGCCCGGCCCGCCCTCCCTGCCACACACTTTGGAAAAGAGAAAAACACAAACACAGCTAAAGTAAATAGAGAGAATTTCGTTTTTCTGTATATTCGAGTTTATGAGTGTTGGTGTTCTTGATACAAGCTTTAATGTGTTTTCTTTCTCTCTCTCTCTCTTTCTTATATATATATATATATATATATATATATATATATATATATATATATATATATATATATATATATATATATATATATATATATATATATATATATATATATATATACACTAAGGAAAAAAGGGTGTCAATTATCACAAAATATCGCTGCTAATATAATCATTATCTTATTATCTTGAATTCCTCAGCACCAAATAATTACTTAATTGAAGGGAAAATTGTGAAAACCGCATCTGTGAAATTTAAACAAACGGTCAAAGTAACTTCAACGAAAGCGCACACATATGAAGAAAAAAAATATACACTAATGATATTAAAATACTAGTTTGATCTACTCTAGTCGAGGCAGACTTAACCCAGCCAGCCAACGAAAATTAAATTTAGTTTGTGTGACTTTGGTCATGTACGGTGATATTTAGTCCAACTCAGCTGATTTTTTTACTAAAAAAAGCAAACGTGTAAAGTCACATACAAGATTTTTTCATATTTGTTGATATTTCATTTTTTTTTCTTTTACATACACAGACACTTGAATTTTCAGGTATAAAATATTGTTAGTGAAATCTGGGTTGATGTAGCCGTAGAGTTATATTAAGTAACTGACTCGGAGAGAGATTTTTACAGCTCGCTCGTCCAACACTGCCGGACGCACGACCAGCTCGGTTCTAAACAAATGTATCATCAGTCGTTGGTCACGTTGTTCCTGTTGTTGTGTTTCCTCTCTCATGTATGACCTGAATATACAAACTCCGAGAGGAATATAACTTTTACTAACGAAAATAGAATAACTAGTGTTCGTGTTCTTTAGTGTTCTTACAGTTAAAAACACACACGCACACACACACACACACACACACACACACAATGCATATTATATCATTATGTCTAAATCAAATGTAAGTGTATATTTTCAGCCACCGGCTGCAACTCTATTAATAAACCGTTTATTATTATTATTATTATTATTATATTATTATTATTATTATTATTATATATACATATTACATACACACACACACACACACACACACACACACACACACACACACACACACACACAAATTTCCCAGACATCATTCCACACTTACTTACATCAACTAATGTGTCTCTCTATCTCGTGTTACAGCGCGTCAGTGGCCCAAGCTATAGCCGTACTCCTTCCTGTAGTGATCTTCACAAGACAAGCGAGACACCACCATCACGCCCCTCCCCCCCTGGACCACGCCGGGCCACCCTCTTTTAGGGCGAGGGACAGAAACACGGAGGAGACTGCGGCAGGAAGGAGACTGGGTAACGTGGGGGAGAAAGACAGATAAAATGAAAAATTGAATCGAGAAGAAAACACTGGAATATCCGAACGGGTTGAGAACGCGAGGACAATAATGTTTTAACTGGCGGTAAAGCTTTGCTTCAACAGTAACCACGGCCGTTAAACATTAGGAATATTTTAATTAAGAAAAGCTTGAGGTGGTTTACTTATATACTTAGCCATAATGATGATAAATTATGATAATCGTATTGTAGGTATTAATTTGGACGCCCTGGTATTGATTATAACGTATATCTGTACTGTGATGCAATATGACATTATACATAAAAATGGAATATAAGAGGAGAGGCAATTATTATTATTAATGAAAGTGTTATACTGTTAGTAAAGGATAAGAAATACACACTACAGATCAGAGCTGCCACACCGAAAGGATTAAATCAGTTGATCAAGAAATATTCAAATTCTGGTAAGATGAATCTTTATTCACACCATCAGACTCAAAGATTCTTTGAAAAAAAAACATACATTCATATGAAAATGTGAAAAAAAAATTTTTGTTTACTGACCAGATGTCAAAAATATTTCAAATAGCAAAACAAAATTATTTGTTTCGGTGCTGAAGTTATACAATAAGAAAAAGTGTATTTATGCTGAAAAAAATGGAAATTCAACTTTATTATAAAGAAAAATTATTGTGACAACACTGCCTTTGTTATTACTGCCGTGAAGTACAGTGAGAGATGTGTATCAGTGGCAGGAAACACTGACGGCAGCCCTATAAGTGAGCACCACTACCAGGTGTAAACATGAAGGTGCACCAACATAGTGAAGATGGGTCGTGCTCATCCACTTTACTTCTAGTGATTTATAAGACAAAGAGAAGAGTTTCAATTAGCAGAATTTACCAATGAAAGTAACACAGATGTATCTTTATAATAATCAGATAATAGTTTAATATAAATAATGGAAAAAAAAACGTCATGATATATAAATCAACAAGTATCATTTGCTAACAATAAATGTTAAGATGTTGTACGGAGAATATAACTGGAAAATACATTGAACTTCTTATCTTACCAGATCCTCCGTTATATATATATATATATATATATATATATATATATATATATATATATATATATATATATATATATATATATATATATATATATATATATATATATATATATACAGGGTGTCCCATAAGTTTCCATACAACGTATCACCAACGCCATTACAAGCATAACTCCAGCTGTGCTTGAACGTGTTCTTCAGCAGTGGAGGACACGCATTGAAGAGTGTTTTCAACAGAATGGTAGTCATGTAGAGCATATTATATAAATAAAAATGGATTTTCATATAAAATTTATTTTTCCTATGTATGGAAATTTATGGGACACCTGTGTATATATATATATATATATATATATATATATATATATATATATATATATATATATATATATATATATATATATATATATATATATATATATATATATATATATATATATATATATATAGTGTAAATTTCTTCTCAATCCTGCCTATCATATGCCTATTATAATTCATTAGTTGCTGTTCAAGCAAACAATTTATATTTCTGAAGTGTAACATAAAAACATAGTTTGTATATGTAAAAAGAAGACGAACAAAACATAGCTCCTGACAAAGGTCAGTCATGTGAAAAATGATTTTTTATACACGTCACAATTTGAGTGTGAACTGTTCCTCAACAACACCAGTTACCACTACAAAGTCAAGGAACACGAGACAACAGTGCTGAAGAGGACTTGGAAAAATGTTGTGTGGATTTATATGACTGAAATACTGTATATCTGTGAAGATTTGTTGTGACGACTGAGTCTTAGCTGTGTATATATAGTGTTAGAGTAGTTTAACTGATTTATTCCAGCAAAACAGTTTTAAACAAAAGTGTCTGCAAAGAAAAAACATACAGATAAATGGAAAACAAAATATGTGTCCTGAACCAGGACTTCATTTCCCTGTTTTCGAAGCTTACGTTATTGGCAATATATTGTAAATTTTTGAATATATGCATAGACGCAAAAGAATGATATTTACACACATGCCAATATACCAAGCTATGTAAACAAACTCTATGGTGTTATGAAAGGCTACTTCTATTTGGGGGTGTTTGTGATTCTGAAATGTTTGGACGCGATGTACAGTGGGTGATGACAAAGGGCGTGTTCGCATTAAAAAGAGAATTGTAGATGAGTTAAATGGTATTTACTTACCCACTGCGTGATGCCAGAGGTGTTTCCTGACTAGTGGCCGAGCGTGTCACCTGCCATCTCTGGCCTTTACACTCTAGAGCAAGATTCTGTTGAACTCGTCAAGAATTCTTTTTTTTTTCAGCACCCGAGGCAGAGTGTGTTCCAGACAAGCTACTAATGAAGTATATATATTCCATAAGTAATCACATTTTGAACCGAGCACGTGATTAGGGTGACTTGTGCATGGCTCCATTGATATGAAGCATTATTTGTTGCTGATAAATTGTGTGTTATTATTGCAACCAAGATGGGTTCGTCTGTTCTCACGGAACCATTCAAACCTTTAACTCTGAAACTCTTGAACCGATATTTGAACAGTGGAAGCAAATGATTACTCAGCCCACCTCATCCAGAAAGAAAATTCTGGCAGGCTCTACTCCAAGGTCTTCCGGAATATGAGAAAGCTGCACACTTAAGGAAACATACTGTAGTGTGGCCGAGGTGCGTGCAGAGTTTCCTCCGACCAGTACGTCGACGCCAGACTACAAGTCCAGCAGGAGGCGCTACACACTACCTGTCAATTGCTTTTTGTATCTGCTCAAATAGCGAGTTTTGAGAATTTCAGGATCATTGCTACGTGCTGAGATCCTGCTCTGGCATCATACTCAACTCTTCCTGCATGTCTGGTCTCTGTCTGTCTCTATGTATATTATCTTTCTTGCTCTGTTTACTAAACGTGATCGTGACTTTCTTGGGCACATTGTTGGATCTGAGAAGTTGCAGCGCAGATCATCGTATTATTTTTCAACTCCATTGACTGTTAGTTCGTCTCGATGACCACTAGATGTACGACCATTATTTGTTACTTCTTGGTTAAGGTGAAGAGTGGAGGTAACATCGCTACATCCATCAATCTGCCCAGAGAGAGACGAGAGCTACACTTATATCCATTATACCGCTCCGCGAGGTCCAAGACTCACTATACCGTCTATGTTGTAGGCCCACTGTTACCATGACACTACGGTAAACACCTTCAAGTTGTTACTGTAATAACGTAGCGCTGAACATATATGTGGTGTTATAGTCACTCCTTGTTATTCTAATGACATCACCAAGAACAGCTTATATGTGACATCACTGGAGGGATCACGTATGAAGTATCTATCACTGTAATGGCCTCACTGTAAACAGCTTTTGTGTGACGTCATAGTATGCAGGTGGTTTGCCCGTGTAATTAATATGATTTTATTTCCAATGAGTGATTTAAAGCCTTAGCTATTGTAACGCTACTTGGTCTTGTAACTACCGTGACGTAACTGTGACTTATGGCGTCACTATAATCAAACACTCGACACCGTCACTGCCGCAGCGTCAACAGATCGGCTTCTTTTGGAGGGTAACAATACCAACGTCACTATAGCCAGGTACTTTAAGCTCGAATTTGCTGTGACATCATCATGCCGTCGCTATCAAAGTACAGTCGTCGTCGTTCGTGATTGTTTGTCCATCTGTAAATTACGTTCCAAATAATTATTCATTGATAAAGTGAAATCGTGAGGGAGAAATGCACCGGAGTTAAACCCTGATATTTGCAAGTTCTTACAAAAACAAAATAAAGTTTGTTCCTTCATGTTATAAGCTATATTGTTTATATTTTGCCATTAAAATTTATATAAGATAGCTTTCATTCTTAAGAGAGGGAGAGTAAGGTTAGTCGTTATATACGATAAATCTAAATGGCTCTAGAAGCACTTGTCGCCGAGTTCGTTCACTTTTAGAAATATTGAGGACGTAAGGACTGACACTCCACTACAGTTGTATCTAAAGGGAGAAAATTTACCCTCAACTATAATAATAAATCACCTTAAAAGGGAATTTTAATTAGGCACACCAGTGCGTCACGTCAGGGTCTCGTTCCCAGTCTTCTCGTAACGGGAATATCACATAGCCAAGTATTGCTCCCACGATTTATGGATACGTATGGCGCGCTATAAAATATTCACAAATATCGTCCAATATTCATGAGTATTCTAGCTTTCAGGAAGCTACACATCTGGACCCCGAGAATTCCAGTTTAATAATTCAGTTTGAGTTGTGACATTAACCAGCTCACACCACACCGGGCTATTGTTAAGGTCATATACACATAAATGTTACTCGAGATATTAGTCATTGATAAAAAAAAGAGACCGAAAATTACCTCTCAGAAAGAATTGCTGCTCTGGGAACCTCAAGTTGAGAGATAAACGACATTAAATATAGATTGTAATTGACAGGGAATTGGTGGAGTCGCTGGTGTTAATGCCGAGAGGGGTGGAATATAGAGGTAATTAAGTCATATTTATTAGACGTCTGGCCATTGAGAGGTTGGATTAACGAGATTCAATTGGTCGACCCCGCGAGCAACCTCCCCCCCATCTCACCTCCCATCCCCCCCCCCCTCGACTCTACACCCGGATAATAGGACTTCCTTTCATTCTAATTTTCACCCCCTCTCTCCTCCTTCCTAACTTTAACCGTACACTGATTGGCCGCATGTGTATCTTGACCGTTACTATAAACTTATCACACACACACACACACACACACACACCTTGACTACATCTATCCACAGACCGCACCTACACCTTAACCGTATCTATACCTCAATCACACACATACTTGTACAGTATATTGACCGCACATACATACTGATCGAAATTTATACCTTGGCCACCTCTGACCGTCACTAGTGTCATAAACCAAACTCTTTATTATTGTTACCGTGTTTGTCTGTCTTTCAGTGGCATTTCTATTCATACTGCATTTTAACCCATGACTATAAATCACAATTACTTGACTTTGTTGCGTAATATCCTAAGACGGGTTGAATTCATCCTTGATTATCTTTCCTTGGTTGTAAGTGTGACCTTAGTTGACCTCCCATCTTTGTCACTTATCCTCCAACATGATTTTTTTTCTATCACTTACGCGTGTTCCGTAAGGTTACTTTGCCTTAGAGTAATCCATTTTGGTTCTTATCTTGACTGAACGCATTTTCTTATTGACCGTATATCTACATTCTTGATCGTATTAACTCCCTTGACCGTATAAAATTCCTTGACCGTACCTACATTCTTGACCGTATCTACATTCTTGATCGTATCTACATTCTTGACCGTATCTACATTCTTGACCGTATTAACTTCCTTAACCGTATCTACATTCTTGACCGTATTAACTTCCCTGACTATATCTACACTCTTAACCGTATTAACTTCCTTGACCGTATCTACTTTCACA